CAAAAAATATAAACTTACTTAAACTCCAATTTGACTTTGACACTGTCCCATCCGAAGAATGGTGCGGCATAAGTTATAACCCATTGCTTCACGTGACCGTCGCAATCATAGTACGGCCTTGTCCAATGTCCATGTTTCAGATTAGCTGCGCGGTAGTAAGTAGGGAATCTTTCATATTTCTTCAAGTACTTTCCTAGTTCATCATCCCTAATCTTCATTTTGAGGAAGAACTGCTCAAGGCTGTCGAAGTTAGTTGACCAACGTTGCTTTAGGAATTGGAACCATGGTTTGTTAGTGTAGGCTTCCTCTGCGAAAATAACAATTTTTGTAAAAACCAGCAAAGTGTGTGACTTCTCAAAAAGTGCATGTTTTTGTTTCCTTAGTTAAATTCTTTGGTTCTACTATTTTATATTGATATTTTTCCATTTGGAAATGAAATCTTGTAAGACAATACCGAACATGATACAGAAAAAGAATAATCCAATTAGAATTACCTAATTATAATTGTACACAATATTATACACCAATTAAAATTATACAATTATCCTACAGTTGTTGTTGGTCATTCCGTTTGACCAAGAAATATCCAACCAAATATTTTGATAGCGAATGTGAATGTTTTTGGGTATACATAATATACAACTATACATCATTAATTTTGCATTTACACTTACCAGTTTTGTTCAATCGCGCCAGATCTTCTAGTTTGAACTTCCTAGTGTTCAACTCAGTCTTGTAGGCGAAAGGTGCGAAGAAAGTTCTGTTGGTGAACTTATTTCTGTCCCAGTAAGTACCTAGAACATTATGTTAGAATATTAACTAATAATAATACGACGTTAACAATTGGGGTAAACGTGTTCTAGAGTGGAGACCGCGTCTAGGCAAACGCAGTATAGGGCGCCCTCCAGCTAAGTGGAGGGACGACATCCGCAAGGTGGCTGGCAGTGGTTGGATAAGAAGAGCTGAAGACCGAAATCAGTGGCGTGCCATTGGAGAGGCCTATGTCCAGCAGTAGACGAATACGGGCTGATGATGATGATGTATGAACTACTCTGAAGAGCTAATTTAAGGTAACAGACATTTCAAATATTGATTTTTAACATTCAATTATTCATTCATTTTCTTTCTTCCACGGTCATAAATATATTTAAAACGTGTAACTCACCAGCTGACCAAATCTTGGAGTCTCCAAGTACAATGGCGAGAGTCTCTCCCGTCATCTGATCTTCAGTCAGTGGCTTATCAGCGACGCGATTACCGCTGAATACCTCTTGAGGATCTGATACCTGATAAAATTATGAATGTAGAAGAAAAATCACCCTTGTAAAAAACAAAATAATACTTGCTGTTAATTGATTTTTGACTTTACTTCAAAAGAATCGAGTTTGAAATACTATTCATAGATTGCTTCCTTGTACGAAATGCTAAGGAGTGGAATTTTTTAGATGTATTCACGGCCCGTGTGAATGGGTTGCTTATAGGCAGACGTGGTCCATCGTAGGCTGTATCATCGCTTACCACGAGGCGAGATAATAGACGAACGTCGGCCCATCAAATAAATAAAAAAATACTGTCTAAAATATAAACTTACTTGTAAGAATGCACTAATGAAATTGGCAAGTCGTACAGCCATCTTGGCCTGGTTTTCGAACTGTTCTTCATGACCAAACGCAATGTCTCCATTGAGGAACAAATCTGAGGGATTGTATCTGTAATAACAATAATAGGGTCAAGAACTTTGATGTATGTATGTTATAAAATTACACTACATGCCAGGTTATTTAGTAGAGATGCGCCAAATGTTCGGCCGAATATTAATGTATTCACATTTTTATGTTGTGTTCAGCTGTGTTGTGGTCATTTTGTCAAATTATTTTGTAATTTTATCCTCGAAGGGGTAGGCAGAGGTGCACATTATACCACTGTACAATGTAACACCCACTTTTCTCTATTTACCGGGCACAATTCCAGACTCCGGGCTACTACTGAGAATTTTTTAAAACCCAGTAGTACTTTGCCCGACCCGGGAATCAATATGGCCAAGGAGGCAGACAGAGAACTTTTAAATTATTGCTGTAACAAATCCAGGTACGTTAATATTAAATAACGGTTAACAAACAAGTGTGTAAACGTACTTGGAACAATTGTTAGGCTGCACTCCTCTGATGAAGTTAAGCACTTCGTAGAGGTTGACTCGCTCGGTATGTAGCGCGGCCGGGCCGGACGACGCGTTCACGTACTCGTAGTGGCGGTCCACGTACATCGCGCGCAGGAACGGGTGCGCGCGCTCCCATTGTACTGGCAAACGCTGGATCCCTGTACGGAACCACTTCAAAATCAGTGTGGTCATACAAGAGGTTTCAAAGTTTAAGAAGTTATAGAAGTAAATAGGAAGGCCTTTGTTCAGATGGATGTCTTCTTCCCATAATAATGATATTGTTCTTGGGTAGATATGGAGTTATTGCTCGTGCTTCTTCATAGTAATCTACACCTTGGAATCAGCAAATAGCTTCACTAGAGGACTAACCGACAGACTGGCACTTATATTTGGCATTCAAAAGTGCCTTCCTTGTCTAATTCAAATTAATGATATTAATGAATGAATTCTTTAAACATGGAGTATTAGAACCTGGAATATGATGATGAATGACTTGTTTTTTTTGCAGTGACAATCAAGGTCGTGGTTCAAAGGATGGAATGTATTTGCCCTTAGTTACACAGAAAGATTAAACTTTTCTATGTATACTCACATCCGATCTTCTTGCAGTCAAAGTTATTATAGTACTGGTCAGAGGTCGCCCTCTCTATGATTTCTCCGAGGTAAGGACGTCGTACTAAACTTGGCAGTCTGTATCCAGGCGCGCAGCGACACTGATACCCACCGCGACGGAAACCCCATCCATGTAGCGGTTCACACTGAAACGTTATCAAAAGTAGTATTATCATCAAATGTAGATTAAATTGATCGTCAAAGGTAGTATTTTGTATTATAACACCCGTCAGATATATTAAATTAATTCATTAGTATGTTTAGGGAGGCCCTGCAGTGGGACAACGATGGCTACAAAATGAAATGAATGTTTATGTCTTTGACCGCGTCATTCGTCGCGCAATGCTCATGAATGTAAGCCCAATAGTGCAACTACATAGTAGAGTTAAGTAGTGTCCTCGTCAAACAGTTACAAGTAGTATTTAATAAATTTTTTGAAATCAATCAATTTAAATTCAACTTATTGATTTGCATAAGTCGAAAATCCAAGGAGCTTACCTCAGTAGTTTCCTTGCACCTTGCAGTTGAAGCAAATCTATTTGGTCTATCATTACCTAAACTCGGCGGACACTGATTTATGTCTATCCTATCATAGTCCAACTCCATCACAACGGCTGCTGTATACCTGAATAATTAAAATATTTATGTAAAGTAGATACTATTTTAAGCCACATAAGCGCTATAATTGCTTGCACAAATTAAAAATTACAAATTATAAATCAATAGCTATAGCTTGTGAATCAAAACATCCAAAAACAATTACACAGAAAAATAATACTCTATTTCTAATAGAATATGGGCTACAATGGTTTGCATTGTACAAATGGTATCCAGTTTTATTTCAAATTTTGGATATGAAATAAGACAATCAGAGACATGTGATTTTATATTCACTTCTTTTAAATATCTAGATTCATAGATTGATATTAAAATAACTATCGTGAGACATACTAAAGGCTACGCGATATCGCTGCGATCGCGCACGCTGCTCATGAGGAAGAACCCCTCTGTGGTTCGAAACTAATAGAGCTTTTATCAGTATTTGCATGTGAGTAACCCGCAACTTTTAGTTAATTCATATAGATTGTATATTTGATAGTTATATACAGAACATCTCACTTTAATAAAACTTTAAATATAACTTACGTGGGATATTCAATATGTCTGAACTGTGTGTGGCGTGGGTAGATGTCAGCCACAGGAGAAACAGCTGCCACTAGCCATTTGTTCAGTCTACCGCAGTCAAAGTATGGACGAGTCCAGTTCACTGGCCCAGGGTTCTGAAAGAGAGCAGTGATACTTGTAGATATTCATGATTTATGATTTTATTACATTTTTAGAAATAATAACTTTTTTATTCATAACTTTACTTTGTTTCCATTTAAGTAGGTTTATCGTTTGTTGTGTTAGTTTATCACTTGATTTGAATTCAAAACAAGTTGTTTTTAAGGAAAATCTTAATTATTATCTGTAGTAGATGTATGTTATGAAAACAATTATCATTCTCAAGATAAATTATGTCCAAGTAATTAGGTATTATTCATCCTTCTTGATATAAAACTTATTATGAAATTACACAATAATTATTCAGATTATGTAGAGAATTACCAAACTATGGGATGATTACTTTTCAAGTGACTTTGAAATTAACACGTTAAACGCCATGGCAGTCACCGGTGACCGACATTAGCGGAGGATTTGCCTTCAACAGTTATTTATTGGCAGCCAATGCCTTAATTCTTATAAGAAACAAATGTTAATAGCCTTCTCTTTGTTATGACAAAAAGAATATATTTTGAAAACTAATAAGATTTCAATCAAATAAGAAAGAAAGCATTTATTTAGCACAGATGATACAATAGGAATCAATAGAATACAAACCTCATCATTGCCTGGTGGTCCATGGAAGGTAAATGTCTCATTTGTATTGTTAGCATATCTGATCTCCACCTGGTATGTAGTCTTCGTGTCATGGCGCTTCGCCACTCTGTCAGGTAGCCACTTCTTGTACCATTCATTAATTCTATAGAACTCTGAAGTATAATCCTTAGACAAACTCTCTGGGTCAAATGCACCAAGATCCTCGACATGGAATGTATTCATCGTAGATATCTTTTGTAAGTGTACAGGGTCATTAAAATCATCCGCCCTAAATGCTCGAGGCGCAAATCTAGGCATAGTTTTATTGAAGAAGCCTCTGTACGAAGACGTATACGACATATTTGGAGAGAAGTATATCGAACTGGCGTTAATGTAAGGATTCGCAGACACGTCGGCCACCGACGACAAGAAATAATACATCATTCCAGGGTCATAAGTATCGTTGATAGCCGGCCTAATAAACCGGGACTGAAGTATATAACTCCAGAAAAATGCTCGGTTCATAGCCATGTTGTGTAAATGCAACATCGCTGTACGATTCGGAAACACTGGGTTTATGTTTATCTCCTTCACATCAGGATGGTGGGAAACTGAATCTTCTGGTAAATACAAATCATCCAGATGAGTGATAAAGCAATTATCCGCTGATACCTTGTCGACTTTACCTCTAATTTCGTCAAAAGCATCACGAATTTGCCATTCATACTGGCCGGCCACACCCCACAGCAAAACACATAGTGATATCACAAGTAAACTCCAGTTTACTTTCTCCATAATGAGTTTTTACACTTAATTTATAATTAAACTTACTTCTTTAGTACATTTCAATTCAATATTATTTATTAATAAAAAATTGAACCGCTACATACCCGCGATACGTTAGTTGCGATTGTTGTTTTGATTTGACATTATGATAGGTAGTTAATTTGAAAGGGCGTGCTAAATGTTGCCAGTTTCTGGACAGCCATCAGTTGATCTTTTTTACTTAGAACAAATTATGAATGCAGCTGTAAGCAAAAAAAAAAGCTAGCTGTCAAGTTTCAATTGCCAATGATTACTGAATAACCTAAAAAACGTACTGATTTAATGAAATATTAAAACAAAATTAATTATTTCTAGCCAGTGAAACATATAATAACCAACCTAATCATGGCTGGAACAATGTTCCGTAAGTTTATCATATATTCTTAGTTATGGGTTAAGTTAACATTTACAAAAATAAATATTATCTGTATATATTTTCAGGTTCCATATTCGCGAATACTTTAACATTTTATAAAAGCAACACTACTAATTTGGTAAGTGTCCTTCATATATTGTCCTACTTTATGTATTTTTTGAACTGCACTAATTCAGATAACTTCCTATCCATAACCAAGGGATTCCAAGAAGAATCTTCTTGAACTGAAAGTGAATTTATATTTAAAATAATGAATAAAAGTCTTGTAATCCAAATTATTATCACTCTCTTGGATTGGAGTTGTTTTCTATTAGGTATCCTATATTTAAAACCATTTGTATTTTCTTTTCAGAGGAGTTTACATACAGCAACCGTGACCTATGCTGCCCGTAAGGGTACCAGGGCGAAGGCCCGTGCTAAGAAGGTTAAGGTTGAAGTCACAAAAGTTGGATTCATCCCACACAACCAGAGAGGGAAAAATAAGTAAGTTATAGACAATTTTACTCTAAAAAAAATCTATTCAGCTCGGTTCATAAACAACATAGTTACTTGTTATTCCCTAAAAGAGCTTTGTGGAGGTATAAAATATAATACTTTTTAATTATTGTAATAAAGAATTAAGTAATAAGTAAACATGGATTCATGATAATACTAGGAGACAATAAAACATCTAAAACAAACATTTTTTTTTGTTACCTATGAGTTTTTACATAAACACAAAACTTGTATTTTATATATGAAAGTACCTGTGTATGATTTAGCTGAAATAAATGATTGTAGTCTTTGACAACATTTTTGTTCATTCCAGGAACATTTATTCGAATGTCAGCAAGCATTTAGATGATACATTCAAGCCAATCCCCAAAGATGATGTGTACCCACTGAAGTACTACCGCTGGATAGTGTACACTGCTGAAGATGCAATAAAGGCCCACCAACAAACACACCACCCAACTATGTACAATGTTCCCAATGCTTTGGTATCTGCACAGATCGAGTTCAATATGGTTGCTGCTAAAAAGGTTTGTTATCTTTAACTTTTTAGTATTAATATTGGTCTTAGCGATCCTCCTTGCCTCTATTGTAAATTGGCAAGATATGAGAGATCTGTTAACATCTTGTACATTATTATTACCTATGTTTATAAATAAATAAATGGCTGATTGAATGAACTATCCACAAAAATATTTCTTCAAAATAAACCCATAGTTCCACAAACAAGAGTTTTCAAGCAAAAAAAATAAAGTCAGAAGACTGACTTTGTCTTTTATTATTAGTATACATTTTGTGACTACTTCTGATTTCACCTCCGACTTGGTAGTAGTACTCACTACTATTTGATCTAGATAATAACAATACCTAATTACTTTATATTTCACTTTTCCCAGAATCGTTACATGGAAAGTTTTACCCGTCTCTCGTTGCTTCCCCACCTGTTCCCGCGTGATGAGGAGCGCACGATCTTGGCATTCTGTAAAGGTTCTGAACTTATCAAGGAGGCGACAGACGCAGGAGCTACGATTGCTGGTGGAACTGATCTTATTAAGAAAATTCAGGTAAACAAGACATGCAGTTTCATATTAATGGGCTAAGAGTTTTCTCTCGAAATCCATGAACAACGAGATTTACTTACTTACTTTCTAAATATTTATTTTTGTAGTTTGTACACTTTGTGTACTACTTATACTTAATATCATAGAAATACTTGCCTATTTACAACAAATCTTGTTTTAGGAAGGTCAAATCAAGCTTAGTGATTACGACTACGTGCTGGCGCATCCCAATGTCCTTACAGATTTAGTGCCAATTCGAGGTCTGATGAAGAGACGATTCCCTAACTTGCGATCTGGCACTTTAGACAATAATATTGGAGAATTGGTGAAGAAGTTTTCTGGAGGAGTCCAATACAGAGTGTCGAAGGATGAGCATCAACAAAACTATGGATTTGTTGAAGTTCCCATTGGAAGGGTGTGTTCACTTAAATTTTTTTTTATATGGCAATACAACTTCGTAAAAGACCTCTTTTCTACCATAATCAATCAATCAATAGTAATAATATCACATGTCCCAGGATTTACCATACAAAATATTATTTTATTTCATGCATATGTATGGATAGAAGACAAACACAGCAGGGCAGCAGTGGCTACTTGTTTTGTATATTTCTAACTTTTCTGATTAATATTTTTCGATTTCAGTTGAATATGGACCCTAAGCTTGTAGCAGAAAACCTAGAAGCTTTGCTTAAAGATTTGCAGTCAGCACGACCGAAACGCGATGGTCTTTTCATTACAAGGTATGTTCAAACAATGAACCAAATTAATGTAGGAAATTATGCTCAAAAAGTAAAAATGTTGCCCTTAAATACTCACAAATTCAGCATACAATTTTTTTTCACGCTATCTTCACGTTCTGATAAATATTTCGGTGAATTTCTTGACAGAAATTAATGAATACAGCGCTCATTTGTCACGGCTAGATTATAGCCCAGTATGGGCGGGCACTCACAATCACAAACAGATAGGGACTGGTGAAGGAGCTGCACGTTAACCAATCTGGACACACTTATAGGTAGTTCAGCAGGAGACTGCTGATAATAAATGTTTATTTAATTTCTTGAATTTTGTCTTCAGGTGTTTGATTGTTAGCCCACCATCCCTGGAAAAGCTCAAGATTGACCCATTTGTTTATGTTGATAAAACATTGGCTAAAGAAGTGCGTGATGATAGCGACGACGAAGGAGAAGCTGTCGCTGCTACTGCGTAATAGATTTAATAAATGTTGTAGTATATTAGTTGTAATAAATTCGTATAAAATAAACAAATATTAAAATAATAATTATATTGTTGAACGTCTTTAATATTATTTCCGAACGTATTTTTATCCTGCGAAATCTAATCTCTGAACGCATTTTGTATGTTGGCAGCTTGTCACGTACCCGTCAACATTTCTAAAGTGCGTTCTGAAACTAGGAAACGGAGAGTGTAATTTACATTCATATCAAAGATTAAAATAAAATGTAATATTTCAAACAACCGTTATTTTAATTAATTCTATCATTATATCCCTACATAGTTGAAAGTTATCTGAATGTTTAATATTTTTTTTGTAAGAAACTTTAGTATCTTGATATAATCAACAAGAAATCTTGTATATAACTTTCGAACGTTCCTTAGAGGGGCGTAATAAAACAATCCGCCATTTTGTCCCTATGACAATTTAGGATTTTAATAGTTTGAAACCTGTATAAATCTAATTAATCTTTACCCATAAGTGATAATCCGGAAACTGTGCAGTGTTTATAAAAACTGTGATATTTGTGTCTCCAGTTATTTTTGTTTACGTTTCATCTTGACGTTTTATAGTTGACCGATTTTGACGTCGATTAGAAGAGAGCTCTAGATAAATCAAAATGGGCACAAGAGAGGACGAATACGATTATTTGTTTAAAGGTAACGTTATTTCTATTCTGGAGTGTATATCTTAATGCTCCTGCACTTAACTTGAAAGAGATATTTGATTTCGAAATGGAACTTTTCAAAACCATTGTTTCATCTCTGAATGACGTAGGAAAAAAGTGATTGATATGATTTTCCTCTTGATTTTGTATTATAATAGTCTTAATTTTGTGTATTAAAAGTTGTAAGTGTAATTAGCCGTATGTTTTAATGCGATTTTACTTAGAAACAAGTTAGTTGGTAACTCATCAGCTGATTGAGTCACATCGATCGATTTCTCGTAAAATTTAGGTATTCGTGAGTCACCTTCCAGCTCACGTATGATCTAATCATTAACTGTTACGATTCTAACAGAATAATGTGAATACAAACAGGTATTTCGTGTTAAAACAAGCATATGATAATGTTTGCTATTTTTCTTTGTTCCAGTTGTCCTAATAGGTGATTCTGGAGTCGGTAAAAGCAGTCTCCTATCACGTTTCACTAGAAATGAATTTAACTTAGAGTCTAAATCCACAATTGGTGTGGAATTTGCAACAAGAAGTATAGAGGTAAATATTTTTTATTGTTTATGTATCAGCTTATGTTAATTGTATGCTAATATTCCTATCTTACCAGAAGTGTATCCCTTTGTGTTTTCATTCGTATACTCAGTATTTCTAAAAGTTTTATGAAGAGTTCCATTGTTTGTGGTGTTTGTTATATTTAAGTAGCAGAAAACTATTTAGGTACAAAAAGGAGACAAAGAATATTTGTACAGAACTTTAAATCCTTTGCTTTAGTTATCATAATATTGTACTACAAGAAGGTAATACAATAATTTCATGGGTAATATTTTTATCCACCAATGTTGGTAAATATTTATCTATTTAAAAACTTATTGATTCCTACTTATGTCATTTGAAGTGTACAAACTACTTAATTAACAAACTAAACAGCTACATTATTCGTTCACACAGTAAAAAATGGTAGCCATTGTTCATTACTTCACCCACAAGTGAATTTAACAACAATGATAATATCTTTACTTTCTAACTTCACTGAGTTTGTTTATGATGGGAGATAACTAAATAGCTCTCTATTTATTCAGAATGCTGCTGGTCACTATTCAGAATGCAGAGGCATTCTGAATAAAAAATAATAAGAATCTTGATGGTAACATTTTAAACATTATTTGCAAACTATTTTTGCATTTTATTTGCACACTTTCAGTATAGAGTATTCTTTGTTTTTATATATTTTATTTTGCTTACTCAATACTTCTTTATTAAAAAACTGTAAC